ACTAGAGACTGAGACCAGAAACTCATTAGAAAACTGTTTACTGAGCTTATAAATCAAATCAAAACTAGAGTAAATTCCCCATAAGGCTTAGTACTATTGAACTTCCACACTGGCTTCACTTCACAGACCCGAAAGCTCTGTCCAAAATTCATATACTGTCAGTGGTTCACACTTGATTTGAACACACCTCAACTTTTGCCACAACACAACATTATCCAGCAAGGTGCTGTGTTGGCCAATCAAATGTTAACATTCCTGGTACCTGAGGAATGTAAAAGGAATCCCACTGTCCAACTTTCCTGCCTAAACTTCTACTATTCACAATCGACATCATTACTATGAAAGATAAAATAGTTTTTGTTATGATAACTTTTCAGAATTAAGAGCCTTTCTCTGTATAATGAAACTGTGGAGTGTTTCTGTCTCTGGTCAACCTGGATTCATCTCATCTCCACATGAAGCATTATTCTGAATGTCCATTTAGCCTCTTAACAGTGCTGGATTACTGCAGAAGGCCACAACTAACTTGATTACTTAAGTGTGCATGTATAGGCACTGACGGTGGTAAATGGCGCACAAGCTGAAAATGTGTTTTTGGTGCTAGCTTTAAGCCACAAACAGATGGGGTTCACTGTATCGGCACAATTAGTACCACCAAAAATGAGAGAAAGAAATACCCCAGATCTTTGTGGGAGGCTTTCCTGTAATTTTACAAAACGTTCTGCTTTACATCTGAACCAAACTTGAACCATCTGGCACCCAGGGAGGCAAAAACTAACCCTGTTTCATCCAGGAATCCTCCACCCTAACACAGGACTGATGAAAAACAGCCGAAAGTATGTGACACATGAACATCCCAACCACGTTCATTAAAGTGTTGCACAACAGTCCACCCTTGTGGTTTCAGTCTTTCCAGCAGATGTTGAACCTGCTGCAGGGATCAGATTCCATTCAGACACCAGAGCATCAGTGAGGTCCAACACTGATGTTGGTGATCAGATCTGGCTCACTGTTGGTGCTCCACTTCAGGTCAGCGCTCCATGCAGACGAGTTATCCACTTCAAACTGAAACAAACTAGAAACAATGCGATAACGTGTTACATAACGTA